AAAGGAATAGTCATCCATAAAAGAGAAGGAGAAAAATTACGGTTGCGGATTTCAGTAGATCCCACATTTAGTCCTCAATGCTAACATACAGTGAATAAAAAAAATATATGATTGTACATCTAACCTTTTTGAGATAATTTTGCGGAAAAAAAAACGTATTTCTTATAAAATATTTTTTATTCACTGTTCTAATGTAATGAAAAATACAGAAAAATGTTCTCTTCGATGAAACGTTTGCCAATAATATTCTCCTCTTTCGTATAAAATTATTCTGGAAAAGTGAAATACAAATATTTTTTTCACTTTCAAAATACACATTGCGATTCTAATATCAACAGCGTGTGTCTGTCGTTTACGGACAGCCGATATTCTGATTTCGTCGATGGAGAAAAATGCGAACCGAGAGCAAAGAGTTCGACGCAAGTATGCAACAAGGACGAAATCTGCGATACGCTGCATCGTTGCAAAATGCATTTCTCCAACGCGATGCACACACTTCGCGATCGCGGAATGTCGTCTGACAAATGCGACGGCGCACGTCATCGGTCGTCAGGGTCGTTGGTCACGAATACACACGTGGATGTCAACAATCGCAAATCATGCCGGACACAACGTCGCTGTGAATTTTTTTCGCAACCGACATGTCTCCGTATGTCGATCGGCGAGCGAATCGAGAGGCCCGATCGATAGCTGTCCCGTTTTAGATGTTGAATAAGCGCCCTTCGTTTTTCGTTTTTCACCCAAACGGGAAGTCACTTTGTGAATTGGATGAGCGTGCAACGGACGATTTTCGGTTAACAACAAATATATAATCTGTTTATATTTTCAAAAGTTTTTGTAATTGACAATAATTTACAGAATAAACAGTAAAGTTAAAGATATTTCGATTTCGATAAAAAAACAAATAAAACTTCGTAAAAGTGTATATTATGATGATCTAATAAATGCGTCTAAGCGTATGTCCGAATATGTAAAATTATTTGAATAAAAAAATTATCGAGAGAAGTCTGGCAAAAATACTCGATTGTTAATTATCCACGAATCATAGAATGACAATGATCGTTGCGAACACTGATATGATATGGAGTGTCCAAATGGACCTCTCCTATCTGTTCCGACGTCATAAATGTCAACGCATCGTATATCAATATCTTGAAATGAAAACAACCAATGTCATCCTGTGAATTCGAAATAGAAGGGATTTATGCACAGACGTTGAACATTCGTCCTTCTAGCCCTTCGGAGAACTTTCAATCTAAATGGGAAATCGATTGTAGCAACGTCAACGAAATTTCGAACTGCTATTCCATAAGCTTGTATAAAATAGTTACTTTATTATTTAGATTACTCTTCCTTCGCGAAACATAAATAATGAAATATACGAAAAATCACAACCATTTTATAACTAAATAAGAGTATCTTTATAATTGTTATCATTAGACCATCTAAATATGAAGATTCGAGAATAGATTCAACAATCAAATCGAATAAACTTAATCTTAATAGTATATTGCATATTCTTTGTTTGCTCAATATTACAGTGATACGAGTCTCGATTTGAAATTGCGCTCTATAATTCTATCTAATTCCAACTTGTTGTAGCAATAGCTGCAATTTTGAAGATTTTCGCGCGATTACAATTAACATGAAACGTTTCGTTCTTGTAATAAGACGTAACGTAACTGGTTTTACGACGTTCGCATGTACCAAACGTGCCAATTACCGTACGTCAGTAGTGCGGACCCCGAATTTTCTCATCGCCGGATCCAAGAAGGGTCGAGGCCGAGGGTCTTACCCGAAGAAGAGCGATGGGAGGTCGGCACGCGCGTACGCACGCTATAAACACACGCGCGCGCGCGCACGCACGCACACACACACACACACACACGCACACGTAGTATTCGGAAGAAGCGGCGCCGCCGCTTCTCGCATCGCAACACAGAGGTTTCTAATTCGAACGGACAGAGGAAGAACGATGCGAGTGCGTCAAGGCCGGATCGTTTAGTCACTGGCCGCCCGACCGGCCAGCCCGAAAGAGTTATTAACTGGATTTATGCATCTGTCCGCCACGATGAGAGGAAGAAGATGGACGGCACCTCGTTATGCCATCGCAACGAGAGAAGAAACTATTCCAGCGTCGACCTTGAGCACTTAGGAAAAAAAGAAAGAAGTCAACAAAGTTTCTGATAGGATGAGTGACTTCCGTAATTCCGTGATTTTTCTTTTTATGACAAATCACTCAAATAACAAAAAGAGTTGTCAACTCAATAATATTGTGAAAAATAATATTGTCTGTATAAGCAGAAAAAAGATTTTCAGTTCATAATTTTCAGCTCATTTTTTTATTCATTTTTAGTTCATTTTTAATTCGCAGGCAGGAATGCATTTTTAACATTTTTAAATCAATGAATCAGGTAATTTGTCAAAGGGTTTCGATTAAAAAAAAAAAAAAACAACGTTAAT